TTTTTTTTTTTTCGTTTGGTTATCTGCAACTATTTTAATCATAATCACTGTACTTTTATTTTAAGTAACAAACTGCCTTTGTCAAGATAAAAATCTACACTGAACAACTGGAAAAACTGCAACGATACGCAGTTTGATATACGTTCAACTAACCGTCTGTCACAGGTTTGTTCAGTGCCGTTAAACGTTCAGGAACGATTCAACCGGTGTTAATAAAAAAATGAACTTATATGGTCAAAGATATAACTACTTTAAAATATTGTTTTAAAATTTCTTTTGCTTTATACTGCTAGTTTTAAAGCTGACAGCTAAAAACACCGTTGTAAACACAAAATCTTTTTCAAAAATTAGAACTTTAAAACGTGCGAGTCATACGTTAATTTGCTTAATGCTCATGTTTTTTTGGGTTATCAGTATAACACAGATTATTTGCTACAAATTTAATTCTACAAGTATCTGTGACAAAAAAAATACTATAAGGTTGTCAACTGAGATTTTGCTTGTAGTTTTATGCTCAAATGCATTTGTTTAAAAATCTTTAGTCAACTAATACCAAATAGCAATTCTTAAAATTCAGTCTTTGAAGCTGGTCGAGCATACCGGTTAAAAATGTTGGTTAAGCGCTCAGGCTTTAGAAATCTCTAAAACAGTCTTGCACTTGACTTTGTCAATTAGCGCCTCTAAAAAAAAACATTAGAGTAATTATTTGAACTTCTCATTGGTTATAATGTATTGAAGGTTTACCATTAAGTTTTCAGAGTGCATTTTGCACTTCTTATTAGTGCCGTATTTAGTAATAAAATTTTTGCAAATCAAATGTTGCGCAGTATCAGTTTTGACAGTGACTTCATTGTCATGGTATGCCGAATCGTACTGAATTGTTAATGTTGCTGCTGTATGATAGACAGCGCTGACTAATGAGTAAATTTCTGTTGATGACGAAATATTAAATTTAAACTTTTAAAAACCTGAACGGCTAAATTATCAAATCTTTGTCTGTAAGAAAAAAAAAAGGACCAAATACATCGTTTTTGGTAAGATATCATATTTTTGAGGACGTATTACAATGATCAGATTGAAGCTTTTGAAAAAATTGACGTCAGTACAGCTGCCAGAAGTTTGCAAAAGTGCTTGAGAGAAAGAGATTTATTGGTTTTAGAATTTTTTATAAACTTGACACCTACACTTTGTAAAAATTATTAATTTTTTTTAAAAGTTTTCTTATTCAACACCAGCTTATGCTGCAAAATCTAAGAGCTGCCGCCAAACAGCAGCAATCTTTGAAATGCTCTTGCTGTAAAAATTGACGAGTTTAGGTCTAAATTAGTAAAAATCTCAAAAAAGATAATAATCACTAGTAGATAAGAGCGAATCGTAGCGTTGTCACACCTCTTAGTGAGTTGGAATTGCCCGTTTGTTCTGACTAAATGTAATGAATTTAAAAACAAAAGTTCTAAAAATAACAGAGGAAAATTGCAGAGAAGACGGGGGAAAAAAATATCGTTTTTGGTAAACAAATCCTCCCCTGTTGTCACTCTTACTTTTTAAATGTAAGAACATTGTTAGAGGATAAAGCAGAAGATTAAGCTTCTACAACTAAACTTTGTTCTAGTATGGGACGAATAACACTAAAAAAGCTGTTTTTGTTGTTACAATTTACAGAATCTGAAATTCAGTAAAGAATTAGGTCTTACTTGCACGCAATTGTGTTTTACTTTCAACAATATTTCTGGCTGATTTCAAAAACAGTTTTTTACTGAATAACTGATGCATACCTAGTGTTAAGCTAAAGTAACCAATTTCAGTTCTTTCTTGAATCGACTACAGATAGTGTGACTAGATTGTACTCAGAAGTAAACTTTGATTTAGTGTAAAAAGCAGAAATTTTTTATAATCTTTTCTGCAAACTATTTTTGCACTACTTTGATTAGAATTCAAAGGCAAATAAAAAAGGAATTTGCAATGCTTATTAAAAACAGCAGCAGAAAATAAACAGTTATATTTAATCAAATGTAATTTTCATAATTTTATATTTTTAACTGATTACAATAATTGTGAATCTGCCTAAAAAGTTTACAAATTTAGAAGAAACGTAACGCTAAGTAATAATTTATTTCTGAACACGAAAATCGAGTTGACTTGCGCTTGTAAAAGAAGAGTAAGTAAAGAGATTTTGAGACCTTGCAGATGTAATTGACTTCAACCAAAATCTGTTTATATTTACAAAGATAATTCTTACTTCAACTTTTAAGCTAAAATTTTGTATTTCTACAGTTGGCACTCCTGTACCCGAAAAACGTTTGAGAAATATAAGTCTAAGAGAAAATTACTGTGGTTTCAGTTTTACAAAAAAAGAATTTTTTCGAAACACGTAAGAAAGGCAGCGCAGAGTTATTAAAATAAAGTTCAGCTGTAGTTGCCTTTTCTTCGGTTCAATGGGAGAAAAGCAGTGAAAATTTATTTTGGTTTGGATTTTAATTACAATGCAGGATTCCCTCAATCCCGCTGAAAAAAGGATAAAAAGTGATTTATTGACAGAACGTACTAAGTAGACAGAAGTTCGATAACCATTACAGAGTTTCCAATCTCTTTAAACGACTTCATTAACGGAACTACAGCAATATCAGATGACGCCCAAGAAAAACGAGAATAACAACGATACCTATTAAGCAAAGCTCAGACGCAGATAGGCTGAGCATTTTAGAAGTTTCGTAATAAGCAAACGCTTTAGAAACCAATGTACGATGTAGATTTGAAACTCAACTGAAAGTCAAACTTTGTTCAGTATCAAGGGAACAGTGTGATAATGGGACTTTTCGACCAGTAGGTGAAAGTGATCAATGAAAGTTTATTGTTATGCCCATTTTCAAACTCAAAATTAGTACTAAAGTTTGGACCTAATTTTTAAATATTACTTTAGTCTTAGCAAAAGCAGCATATTTTTACAAACTTGTGGCAGTCTTAAGTTTAACTTTGCTATTTAAGAGGTAAATGCACGATAAATGGTAAAAACTGTCAGCAAAATCCTACTGTTAGTTATCTCGTCTTGCAAAGATTTTTAGAAGATAAGCTAAAAAACCTGAAACGTTTCTGAAAAATTGTTACGGATATAACTTGCAGCAAAACAGAATTTTTATATTTCAAACTCATCCGCCTGTCACATAACACGTAAAAACTGGCTAGAATGCCAAACACTAAAAAAACTTTATCTGTTTACCAATCTTCAGCATGTTTAATCTTCTTTGGTGGCAAAACCTATTCATAAGTTTTAAAGACTGATGTTTTAAAAACTTTATTTACTTTTTCCTGTTTAACATGTAAGTTGTATGCATTTA